ATAGGCAAGGCACTTTTCATCACAGCTTTAATCAAAGGATAAAAGTTTTCTGGCAAATGACTGTGCTCTTGAAATTTTTCTAGATGAAATTAATAAATAATAGTCAAGTAAAATCATTTTCATTCTTAAACTGTTGGTTTCTCCTTTCTGTGCACACCACATTTCAGGAATTCATTTGGGTTGCACACAATTTAGCTTTGTGGAGGCTCCCCCACGTCTGGTCACTTCTCTGGTACATACGGGCTTTGCACGGAGTGGCGCGTGCTTGGGGACCACTTAGTGTCCCTGCAAAGCCCTGGCTTCCACCCTGACCTACTGAACCAGCACAGGGACAGGCAGGTTTCTGTTCTCTGAAGACCGACTTCGTAACTGTGAGGGACACTGTTGGCTCAGAACCATGTCTCACTCATGACCAAAAGCTACAAGTATCAGGATAGAGACTCCCCCACCACCATTTAATAAGACATTTTTCCGAATGTTCAAGTGGTCACTTTTATAACAAGTTCAAACTAGATATCAAATAGCACAACTCATACCATCAGGAGAAAGAGTTCTCAAGAATTTAAGCTAAAAGGCAAGAATTAATAGTGGGAGAATCCAGTGTATAATTAAATAAACTCATCAGGGCCATAGACAATCTCAGTACTGGGTACAATCTGAAACGCCAGCCTTAGCCTATTTTACAGATAAGAAAACTGAGGGAAGATTAAGATTAAGAAACATGGATAAAGTCCCAGGGACAGGATGTGATAGGCTGCACTATCTATTCACATCAGTCTCTCTCCACCACCGCTCAATACAATAGATAGGGTTCCCCCATGTGAGAAATGCGGGAATAATGTTCAGAGAAGCCAAGACGCTGGCCCAAAGGCACACAGCTAGTTAATTTAGTAGTGCTAATAATTGCCATGGAACCTCTGAGTGATGCCAAACTACAGGGTGTCCCAAAAACTGTGTACACAACTTCGAATAATTATAAAGCTGGTGTTTATGAAAATACATTTCATTTTCAAAATGTAAGAGAATCTACAGACACCCTGTATACATTTGTTTGGGACTCCCTGTATATTAACTACTGGACTTGAAGACTTAAAATGCCCTCTGGGTCCCAGAATTAAAATGATTACCAAATCGCCTAGAAAATCTGTTCTAGGACCCCAGAAACTCCTCAATGAATGAAAGAGTTTAGTTTTTTTGTTTGTTTTAATCACACTACTTCAAAGAATCCCTTTCTTGTTCTTCCTTAAGCAATCTGAAAGTAATTGGGAAAATCTCAACGGTTATTAAGAAACACTTCCCACTGCATTAATACTATAAAATTAAATATCTAAGTATAGGATTCAAGCATCATAAACACAGAAGAGTGTAAGCAAGCATAATCTATAAATAGCCCTTATGAGATTCTAGGTTATTGTTCTGCCACAAGTCTCTCTTTAATGTGCCTACAACACCCTCCCACTCAAAGATCCATGTAGTAATTGTTCTGAAAGATAGCTCACGCTAAACGTACCGAGCAGCATCCTTTCAAAGGGCTGAACACTGCCTTAGCGATTTGGCTAGCTGGAACCACATTCTGGAGTATGATTTAGGGACTTGAAGAGTGGAAATTTTGGTCTTTGTCAGTGACACTCGGAATGAGGGATTTTCTTGATGGAAAATCCCAGGAAACCCTGACCCCTGACTGCAAACTGGAATACAAGTACCTTCGCCTGCTGCTTCCTGTCAACGAAAGACAAACGCAGGAGCAGAGGCTCCTTCTACCAAGGGCAGTCCCCGGATCATCCCATCTCCTCCCTGCACCACCCAGGAGACCCAACGTGAACAAAGACAAAACGCAGGTCCTCGCGAAGCTCCCATCGTGGTATGGGGACAAAACAAGCACGAATAAAAGTCGGTGAAGAATGCCTTGAAGGAAATCCAATAAGGCAACAGGATAGAGAGTTAGGGGATTGGGAGGGCTGCTCCCAAGGGGGAGGGTGTCAGGGGAGGCGGATGAATACAGGGATCTGTGGTTGTGCATGTACAAGGGGACGTGGATATGCACGGGGTGATATATGGCTGAGACCAGAGAAAGAGATTGTTTCCCAAGCCTGCGGGGTGTCCAAATCACTGCAACTGTCTCCTGGTGGAGAGCAGCGCTCTGCTCGTTTTAAACTAGAAAGGAGAGTTAATAGTCGATATTTCCCTTTCCTGCTACACCCGTGTTTCTTTGCAAAGCAAAATGTAAAGCCTCTGAGCAAAAGACCCTCAAGTGGCACCATGTTCCCGAGGCGAGCTCAGTGGTACACAGCCACCGACAATAACAGCAGCTGCTTTGGGGAAGAGACCATCCCTGGGCTTTTGGCTATTACCACCCAGCATGAGACAGCAGTGATCTGGAAGGCCGGCAGGGAGCGCAACACCCGGGGTCAGACACAGACGGAGCAAAGGTGGGGCGAACGGCTGCTGGGCTGTCCGGGCCAGGCTGGGGTGCCGCTGTGTGGCTTGCACAATGTGAGGCGCTCCGACGTGGGCGCAGTTTTCTGACCTGGACAGTTGACTACTAAGGATGCTGCTCTGCTTCCCGCAGGGCTGCCTACTCCAGCGTAACTCCCACGGGGAAGGCCACGTGGCTGTCACCACCGACTACGTCATCGCCATGGGTGCACGAATCATGGGTGTGCCGGTCAACAGTGAAGATCCCCAAATCCCCCCCTAAAGATCCTGAACCAGGAGGCTTAGACTAAGGGCTGAGAAGCAACTTAACAAAACAAAAACAAAAACACTAACACCAAAATCAAATCAATTTTCACAGTAGGTAGTGGAAGAATTGCATTTGGAAAAACAACTCCTGGTATTTGGACTTGGCCTAAAGGGACAGTTTTCAAAACTTTGTCATCCACTGAGGTTTTTATATGTATGCACATAGTTGTTTACCCATTTTATATTTCACAGAGAAGAGACAGCCCCGCTAACTCACAGGAAAATTCTGTGATCAGGTTGGAAACAACTAAAATATATCCAAGACAATATAATCTTGTGATTTTTTTTAAAAAAGTGGAAGTGTAAAAAGAAATTAAGCTAAATCATAATGGTGGTGATAATGATAACCACATTCCATATTTCATATATGAATACTATATGCCAAGAATTACTCTATTCTCACTGTTGACACTCATAAAACCATTAAAAAGTTGTGACCTGATATTTGGGACATCAAAAAGTAGTCACTGTTGTAGTCAGAGGGTCTACAGTCACACTGCTCAGCCCTGCTAGGCTTGGTGCTTGGTTTTGTTCTTTTTTAGTATGTGTTTTATTTTCTTATTTTTAATGGAGATATAATCCCAATACCATAAAATTTACCATTGTAAAGTGTACAATTCAGTAGTTTTTAGAATATTCACCAAGTTGCACAACCATCGCCAGTATCTAATTCCACAAGGTCTCTGTCCCTCCACAAACCACTCCTGCCCACCAGCAGCCACTCCCCAGTCCCTTCACAATCCAGTCCCGGTAACCACTCACTCACATTCTGTCTCCCCCAGTCTGCTTGTACAGAAAACAACTTTAATGTCCCCTTCAGAATTCTGCGATGAGATGGAAGGACGCTCTAGCCTATCTATTCACATAAATATTAGATGTGTTTAGCGTGTGCATATCACCCCTCTGTACACGCCACTGGACTGGCCTGCGCATTCTCCCACGGTGCTAGCTATGCCTCCACGGCGTTAATTCAAGGGCTGAAGAAATTTCATCAAATAGATATTGCATAATGCATCTAACTACTCTGGTGTTGTTGGAATTTACATTTGAATATTGAGTTTTTAAAAAAAACTAGTAACCAAGTTGAAACATTTGTGCTTTGCATTTTAAGGAGCAGTTTCAGAAGGAAGCTACTCCTGTTGTACTCTTTTTTTAGCACCTGCCTATTTGGAAGCCTGGCCTGGGGGTGCGCAGTGCGGTGGAGTTTGGCTGTGAGGACCCTCTGCCCTATCATATCATGGGTCTGGTACCAACAGAGAGCCAGCTCTCTTTTTTATCAAAGGAGTTTGGTGACAGTCCCTACAGGATAGTCCCTGCTCAGAAGTTCTTCCCAGGTAGTCTATTGTAGAAGTTCCATGGTAGCTAAATTAGACATTAAAGCCATATGCAAACTATGATCAAAAGAGAACTGTTTATTTGGTGTTGTTTGATGCCAAGCATTACCTTATACAGCCAAGGTCAGAAAACCTCCTCTCGCCAAGTGTAATATCAGCACCCCCCAGCCTGACTTGCTTCTCATTTCTAGCACAAGAAGAAAAAAAAAATAGCCTTTTCTAAGATTTAAATATGGGCCTAACTGCAGAGAAATTTGCCTTTGTATGAGGGAGGCTGAAACCCAGCTTCAGAATCAGTTTTTACTTTCCTGGGGAAGCAGGGACTATCCTAATAAATACTGATTTCCTCTTCCAACACGTAGAAACCCACCTGTGAGCCCCGCTGACTCCATGAGGTCAGAACTGGGTACTAGGCACAGAGGGAGGAGAAGGAGGTGTGGGCAGAGGATGGAGAGAAGAGGGCCGGAGTGAGGGACCACCCGGGGCTCCACTGCCTTGAGCCCCTCCCTGTCCCTGCAGAAGGAGGAGCAGCGCAGACTGTGCAGAGCTGCAGGCCTGGCAAGGGTGCCCGGGCTCGAAAGGGACCCACAAACCCGCACCAGTCCCTGTCCTCTTCCCTGGACTCTGCCACCTGTGAAGTCCGGCGACTTCAGTTTCTGTTTCAGGATTTCTTGATTTAGTTTCTGTTTTAGCATTTGCACAATAATAGTTTTATTACAAAAGGTAAACGCCTTGTAAACTAATGGGAAACATATTGCTTGGCAAGTTTATAACGTCAGGATTTACGTGTGTAACACTGAGGGTCTCTCTGACCTCGAAGGTAACACAATGAAACAGCAATGTGCTGCGGATGACTCAGTGTGAGTTTTTATTAGTTCTCATAATTGCTCCTTATTAATTTGTATGCACATAATAAGCACTCACCTTCACAGTCTGTCCGGCTTCGGGGCCATCCTAGAAGGAGGACGAAAACACAGAGGTAAGAACAGAGAGCTGATATCTCCTGCTTATTCAGAAATATCAGCTGCTAATAATTTAAGTCCAATTTCATTGTGTGTTAATTTATAGTATTCTCATGGGAACCATTTGCTTCAGCTGTGTGGGACCAGACCATTCTCCATTTCCCCCTGACAGTAAGTCAGAATTTACGTATAAAAATGATATCCAGTGAGCCAGCCAACCCCTTGCTTTTTTTCATGCTCTTTGCTCGCGGCTGTGGTTTCAACTGCATTAAAGGAAAACTGAAAATGTTCAAGGAAGTCAAGTATCACATGTTGTGAGTATCTTTAAATCCGATGTCGTTTAATTAATGTCCGACTACTTTAAATCTCTACTCAGGAAATCCGCTATAAACATAACTCATTAAGCAAGAAGGTGGGCCGTCTCGCATGGGAGGAACAGCCCAGCGCAAGCCCTCCGGCCGTTCTGACCTTGGGGGAGAAAGCTGGGAGTCTTCACTGTCGGTGGAGCCCTTTCCCCATTCCGCCCCCTTCTCTCAGCTTTCCGAAGCCCAACAGAATCATTTGCTTCGTTGACAATGAGCAACCTCGCCCAGTCACCAGACATAATGCAAAGTCAAAGCCAGGGCTGAGTGGGTTTGGGAAGGCAGAACAGGGAATGTCTCTGCGCTCAGAAACTCCAAAACTGAGTTGTGACATTGCTACTTTAGGAAAGTCTTTCTACCGCTAGAAGCTTTGCTAATGGGATGAGAAATCTTGCCCTGCAGGGGGGCCAGGAGTGAGCAGAACTATCTAACCAGTGGTTTTCAAGCTTGGAGCCATAACCCACTAGTAGGTCAAGAAGTCAACGGAATGGGTTGTGATCAGCAATGAAAGCAAAAGAAATCAGATAACAGAACAAAAATGATTGCAGCAGTTCCCAACCTGTGGGTCACGACCCCTTTGGGGGTCGAATGACTCTTTCACAGGGGTCGCCTAAGACATAACAGTACCAAAATTATAGTTATGAAGTAGCAACGAGAATAATTTTATGGTTGGGGGGTCACCACACCAAGACGAACTATATTAAAGGGTCGCAGCATTAGGAAGGTTGAGAACCACTGTTTAGAGTATAGCATGGGCCAGCACTGCCTTGTGAAATGCTGTTTCCCATCTGTATGTGTATGTAGGGTATACATGATTGTGAAGTACATGTATTTCTTACTGTGGGTTGAAAGAGGTTTGGAAAGACTGCATATTAGATTCCTAGATTAATGCAACTGACTTCCCAGTAAATCATGTTAGGTCACCATTTTCTGTATATGTGAATTTTCTGTTAGTTCTTCACTTGCCTTTATTTGGTCCCTCTGGAGACAAGACTTGCAACATGAACCTAACAGACCCACCCTGAGCCCAACTACCTGTTTGAGGTGACTCAAATGGTTTAACATCCAACACACACATGTACGCGCACACAGGGAAGTTTAGGTACTATTAACACAGACATAATGGCTGAGGAATCTTTTTTAGAAGAAGCACATGAGCAATTCTAGTCAGATCCCTTCCATAACCTGAAAACAGCGACTTTCTTTGTCCCTTTGGGAGAGTGCTGAGGAGGGTCCAGGAAGGATGTTGACTATTCAGTTCAGCTAAAGCCCTGAGTACAAAGCCTCCTATTACGCAATATCTGTTTCTTTCCAAAGGGCACTGCAGCGTCACCATGTTGCAAGGCCACAAAGGACTTGAACATGTATTGATCCCAGCTCTCTCTGTGGGCCCCTATGAGGAGTGCTGACTCACCTCTGCTACAGCTCTCCAGTGATCAGGGCTCTCAGTTCTTTACAGGAGGCTGGCCACACCCTCTCAGTTCTTTACCAGGAGGCTGGCCACACCCTCTCAGTTCTTTACAGGAGGCTGGCCACACCCTCTCAGTTCTTTACAGGAGGATGGCCCCACCCTCTCAGTTCTTTACAGGAGGCTGGCCACACCCTCTCAGTTCTTTACAGGAGGCTGGCCACACCCTCTCAGTTCTTTACAGGAGGCTGGCCACACCCTCTCAGTTCTTTACCAGGAGGCTGGCCACACCCTCTCAGTTCTTTACAGGAGGCTGGCCACACCCTCTCAGTTCTTTACAGGAGGCTGGCCACACCCTCTCAGTTCTTTACCAGGAGGCTGGCCACACCCTCTCAGTTCTTTACAGGAGGCTGGCCACACCCTCTCAGTTCTTTACCAGGAGGCTGGCCACACCAGAGAGCCAACCAATGCAGCTTCTGACCACCCCGTAATCAATCACTGAGGCTGACGGAGAAAGGGTTTGCCCTCTGAGGGCTAAGCCCAGGCAGTGCTTAAAACATAGTTACCATGGAATGAAAATGACTCATCCACCCTACTTCTTGTGAAACATCTGGAATGTTGCGATGCCCATTGAATTACCTGCCCATTACTCCCACCATCTGTGAACGATGCTGCAGACATCATCTCAGCTGAGATTCCACAGTCTACCTTGGGGCCAATGGACAGTAGGGTGGTCCTGGGTTATTCCATCTTTTCCTGCTATCATGTAAGACTAGAATACCCACAGCTGCCTTCCCAGTGAGATGGCTGGTTAAAAGGGGGACAAGCCCGGTGGTAGAGTTTGAAAAGGAAGGAAACACATTTTTCAGCATCTGCACACTCACCTGCATAGCAAAGGTAAGAGAAGTCCCCTGGAAATGCTTCTCCACCACGGCGCCGACTCTCTGGGTTGCCTGGAACAAATCAGCCACTTCGTCGGGACGCAGATCTCGGAAGCGCTCCACTGGCCGAAGGGGACACACCAGGACATCTGAGTGCGGTCTGTTAAGGGACACACTGCCCGCTCTGGGAGTATTTTTACCAAGAAGTTTATGCCCAGGGCCTGAACTCTCAAAGACTAAAAAATCAAGAAATAAATATTTACCAACCACCAAACTCCAAGGGGTTCAAAGACGTATAAACATGGTTGATCATACTTGGAAGGAGGAGCTGTGTTGAGCTAAGAAATTCTTTGAAGATCAAGGAACATCAGTGGTTCAGAGAGACTCCACTGCTGAGATAATTATGCCAAGAGGCAAGACCCCTTCCGGACTAGTATTTCCTGGCCCCTATTCTAACGTTCTGAGTCTTAAGCAGCCCGAGGCCCTGGCTGGAAAAGCATATGGAATATCCAGTTGGTTTCTCTACCTAGAGTGGGGGTGGGGAACATCCAGCCCGAGGACCCTCTGAAGTCAATACCAGGTAAGGTCACAGGTCTCACCACTTAGCCTGAACAAATAGAGCAGGGTAATTTTTAAGTTGATAACGTTGCATGGCCCTGCGTGATGTTATAATTATCCAAGTGGCCCTTGGAAGAAAAAAGGTTCCCCACCCCTGGCGAGCATCATGATCAACTTTTTAATTTCAATATCTCTTTGAAGAAATATGCAGTGAAAATACAACAGTAGTTTTATTTATTTTATTTTTAAAATTAGTATAGAATCCTGACCGAATGGCTCAGTTGGTTGAGCATGGTCCCGTGCACGAAAAGGTCACCAGTTCGATTCCCATACAGGGCACATACAAAGGTTGTGGGTTCGATCGCCAGTTGAGGAGTGCAGGAGGCAACCGACTGAGGTTCACATCCATGTTTCTCTCCTTCTCTTTCCTTCTCCCTTCCTCTCTCTCTACAATCAATAAAAAGAAGGTGTCTAGGAGGGGGAAAGGATAAACATCTGTAACAAAAAAATTATTAAAAATTGAAAAAAAAAAAGTAAAATTTAAAAAAATGTATATATTTTTTAAAATAAATAAAACTAGTGTAGACATTCTGAAAACATACAGTAAACTTCACCTATTACTAACAGATTGTCACAATTAAACAATGACAAGGATTTCTCCAGCTGATCATTAAGAATTCAAGAAGTCGGCTAAAGGCAAATTATCAGTTTAAGAAAAGGTTTGTCTACTTTGGCACACAAAAGTATCTTAATGCATTCTGTAAGTTAGACAAGTTCACATATTTACATTACTAGTCTGAACAAACAAGATCTAGAGTAAAAGGATGTATAAATTTGATCATTTGTTGATAGCAAATTAATATTCAATATTACATCATTAATAACACTTCAGTTCCTTTTTGTGTTTGAACTCGTCACGTATGTGTGAGTATATACACACCCTTATGCACACAGGCATACGCACATAAGACATATTAACTGTTGCCCTGGCTGGGTGGCTCACCAGCTGAAGCGTTGTCCCGCACACCAAAAGGTGTGGATTAGATTCCCAGCAAGGCACACACCTAGGTTGTAGGTTCAGTCCCTCGTTGGGTGAGCACAGGAGGCAAGTGATTGATGTTTCTCTCTCACATTGATATCTCTCTCGCTCTAAAATCAATAAAAACATATTTTCCAGTGAGGATTAAATAAAAATATATATATTAACTTCTGTTTAATGTTTTTGATACCAACAGGAGGAAAAAGCACTCCAATGTTCTTTCCAGTTTCCTTTTTCCTTTTTTCTTGTTGTCTTAAGAGAACATGCTTGTGCCTGGAGCTCAGCAGCTGAGGGTCCTAATAAAACCACAATTCACAACTGTGCGTCTCCCCAGAATACCGAGCATTGGAGCCCTTTGTACCACTGGTAGGACTCAGGCCCCAGGGAAAGGCATGGAGCTCAGCTGGTCAGACCTGATTTCCATACGAGAAGGGGGGAAGGAGAAAAAACCGATTAATTTTGCTCATAATCAAGAAACTCATGTCGATGGTAAACCAGGAAAAGGAGCGTTTGTTTAATCTGAGCTCATTTTTCAAGAGAGAAGAGAGGCCTTCACCCATAGGCCATCTGATACTTACAAAGATAATTATCGTTTTTTTGCAGGGCTGTTTTATTATCATGGGTCAGTGAACCATTTAAAAATGAAGAATTTTCTTTCTTTCCCTTTTAGCAGATTGCCTGTCTCCACTCCCACTGAGCTGCTTTTCTTTGTTCACAGAGACCTTTCCCCACCTTCCTCCTCCCTACTTGAATGTACACCCTCCCGAGGCCCTGGCTTCACCAAACCACAGCGAGAAGGGTGTCGCCAGCTTCCAGCAACGCCCGTCATGCTGTGGCGGCTGTGTCTACACACAGAACGAGTGGGGAAGAAACGGCGTTTTATTTAAACCGGTGCTTACTATGAAAACTGGTGGAATGAGTGACACTCTTTGTGACATCAATGACATCTGAATGGGTTGATCATAGTATCTGTCCATTTTGTAAGTCTGATGCTAAGGATTGGCTTGACCCAATGTTTAATGATTTCAATGTTTACGGAATCAAGTAAAAATGCCTTTTTTGTCAGATGTTTTGTCCTGTGCAGTATATACAACCGCAGGGTGTTACATCGCATGCATTTATTATTTTAATTACACATTAATAATAGTAATATGACATGTCACAAAACAGTAAAAGTCTAAGCACATTCTCATTGAGGTGATGAGTTTCGCCAGCCCAGTTATGCCACATTGTCCTGACATACACATTCTCTGCAACCCAACCCTTTGTTAAGAAGTCCTTTTATCTGCATATAACACACACACCTTTCTGTGCAAATAATCAGATAAATGAAGACAGCTTGAAAAGGTGCTCACTTGGGCAGGTGATCATTTTCTTTGTTTTGTTGGGACTGAGAGGATGGTCAAACAGGCACCCCAACCGGGAAGTGGCCAATAAAATAAGGGAGGCTCCACACAGGGCCACAGGGCGGCAGAGGGGTCTGGAGCCGCACAGGGTGAACTCCGGAGCTCCGGGCGCTGCGTGCGTAGTGGACCTGGCCAAGTAGCAGGCTGACCATCCAACACGCTCCCTGGGCCATTCTAGGTGCCAACTGGGCATCAGAAGGTCAGGACCAACCATCTTCTTTCCGATGCTTTGAAACCAGAGCAAAAGAGAGCCTGTGCCTAAGCCTCACCACACGCCTGCCTCCCCCGGGACCCCCTCGTTCCACACCCTTCTCTGCACACGTACAGATGCCCTCTTGCTTGCTTCCAGTTCCTCAAACACGGGCAGCTCCTCCCAGATCTGGCGCCTGGACTGTTTGTTCTTCCTGGAAGTCAAGGGCCAAGATCTGCATAAGGTGGCTTCTTTCTCATTATCCAGGGTCTGATTCCAATGCGCCCTCAAAGGAACATTTACCTGCTCGGGGCTAACTGCCCCGCTTCCTCACTCTTCCGTCTCCTGTGCGACCCTTTCCTGGGCCCTCGCCCTCGCCCCAGCTGGTGGTTCTCGGTTGCTCACCACCTACCCAGCTGACAATGGAAACTCAACAAGAGAGAAACTCCGTCTTGCTTACTGATAGTTCACCACCACCTGTAACAGCAGAGCTAGTCAATACGTATTGCTGGAATGAATGAGTAATAAACCAGACCCTCCTATCAGCCACCTCTGAGTACTAAAACTCTGATGAAATCCATTTACTTTTCGATGATCGATATAAGATTGGGATAGTCAGAAAGTTGTTTTTTTTTTAATTCAAAGAGGTTTATCCTTACTGTCTAGCATAGTTAGAACTAGTAGTTAGAACTAGTGCTGGATGAGAGCTAAAGAAATGTAAACTCATTTGTAATCTAAACTAACTTTTTGTTTTGTTTTGTTAATCCTCACCCGAGGATATTTTCCTATTTATTTTTGGATAGCATGGAAGGGAGGGAGAGAAAGAGAAACATCGATGTGAGAGAGACACATTGCTTGGTTGGCTCCTACACACATCCCGACCAGGGCAGGGGACTGAACCTGCAACCCAGGTACATGCCCTTGACTGGGGAATTGACCCCTCAGCCCTTCAGTCGGCGGGCCAGCGTTCTAACTGCTGAGCCAAATGTCCCAGGGCTAAACTAATGTTCATATGAGTCCAAAGGAAATAAAATTATGAAAGTAAAATCCTTTTAAAAGTAAAAGAAGTGGTTTCTAAAATATTCAAAGTCTCAGATGAACTACGTATAGAAAAATGCTGCCTTACGCTACGACTAGGGAGTGTCATTCATGTGTTCAAACCGCGAGCACCAGTTGAGTGCAGACACTGCTCGGCTGTGGAGCAGCAAAGGAGAGGAGGAGGAGGCTCTGTGCTTCCCTACAGGGGGCAGTGCTGGGGGGGGGGTGTCGGTGAAGCACGGACACTACAGATCCAGAGAAACCCGGGCACCTTTGTGGGCAAGAGTTCCAGGGTGACCACGGACACACTCCGAATTGGACAGATATCCCATGGCTACCTGGAAATATAAATGGGTTCATAAAGGATTTAGAGAAGGTAAGTAAACTTTTTCTGCAAAGGACCAAACTAAATATTTTAGGTTTGGTGGGCCATCTGCCCAGGCAGCCATGGACAACACGAACACAAACAGGCGTGGCTACGCCCGGTGAACAGAAAGGAGAGGCCAGATTTGGCCCAAGGGCCTGAAAGAGTCAACCCTGATGGAGAGGAATCACATTAGAAAGAAGTAACTAAAGAAAACAAGAGGTGTTGGGGGCCTATTCTTCTTTCCCTAAAGTCAAGGACTATAATGCTATCTTAAAAGCATATTGGATAAAGATTATGGCACCTTACAAAATTTAACTGTCCAAAAAAAAAAATATCTTAGCACGGGAGAGCATGTTCATGACTATGTACAATGCTTCTGCTACTTTTAAGACTAATCACAACCAGAAATTGTGTTATGGTATTGACAACATGAAATAAATCATGAGTATTTCTCCCCAACGCAAGGAAAAGGAGTTGCCGCACCTCCAGTCGGAGCAACGCAGCACGTCATCAGCACTCGGGCACAAAGCAGCGTGCTACTTACAGACACC